AATTACTTCAATGAGTAGAAAAACATGTCTTACTGTCAACCTACACTAATGATTAAAGTGGGAACCTAGAGAGTCCTAGAAGAGAGCCCAATTCCTAGAAGRCTATTTTATTATCTGCAAAAAACATCTATATAGAATAATATATTCCTCTTTTATTTTATTATAATAAAAATATAAACCTGAAAATTTATGACATGTGAGTTCACAGGGATGCATTTTGTGTAAGAGGAGTTCAAGTGAAATGTTACTCAAGGTGATTATATTTTAATTTGTGAAATATAAAAATTGAAATATCTAAGAGGGAAGTGGTATGTTAGTCCAAATTGGTAGGTAAAAATTCAGGATCATACCTAAAGATTTGTAGCTTTAACACTGAGGTACATCTGCAGCCCTTTTTATTTTTTATTTTGAGATAATCTCACTGAATTGCTAAGTCTCATTAAGTTGCTGAGATTGGACTTGAACTTGCTATCCTTTTGTCTCAGCCTCCAGAGTCTCTGGGAATACAGGTGTGTACCACTACGCCTGGCTACAATTTTTAAGGCGAAAGATTTATTCGATCTGAAGAGAAACCAGAGTATGGCTACAATTTTTAAATAGAAAAAAAATAGCTGCAGTCAGAAAAAAAAAAGAAAAAAAATGATGAGGTGAGAACCCTATAGAACATCTATATTATAAAACAAAACAAAACAAACAAAAAACAGTGAATTCAATATATGTGGAAGAAGTAGTCAGGGAAAGAGAATTGTAAGCATTACTTTGCTGTTAAGATTCTAACAAAGGACCAAATACAGTAGTGCTTTTGGGATAAGTTACAATAGCCTCCACTGTGTGATTATTAGTGACTGTGAGAATGAATAGAGACAATAGAATATTGGTCACACTGCACCTGAAAATTACTCAGCAAATTTTATGTGTCAGGGTCATTAATGCTACATTCACTATAAATGACTGTGGTGAAAGGAGTAATAATGAAGAAAAGAAAGAGCTTTCCTAGGGAGTGAAAAGTGGAAGAGATGGTGGCTGAGGACAGGGGCAATGCTCATACTTAGTCATGAAGGGTCAGACTGGGGGGCTGATATCCTTGATGATTTTTTAATTGATTTTTTAAAAAAATAAATGACAGCGGAATGCACTACAATTCTTATTATACATATACAGCACAATTTTTCATATCTCTGATTGTATATAAAGTATTTCACACATATTCATGTCTTCATACATGTACTTTGGAAACTGATGTCTATCACAATCCACCATCCTTGCTAACTCCTGTCCCCTCCCTTTCCCTCCCACTCCTCTTCCTTTTCTGGAGTTTGTCTATTCCTCCCATGCTCCCCCTCCCTACCCCACTATGAATCAGCCTCCTTATATCAGAGAAAAGATTGGGCATTTGTTTTTTTGGGATTGGCTAACTTCACTTAGCATTATCTTCTCCAACGCCATCCATTTATCTGCAAATGCCATGATTTTCTTTTCTTGCTGAGTAATACTCCATTGTGTATATATGCCACATATTTTTTTATCCATTCATCTACTGAAGGGCATCTAGGTTGGCTCCACAGTTTAGCTATTGTGAATTGTACTGCTATAAACATTGATGTGGCTGTGTCCCTGTAATATGCTGTTTTTAAGTCCTTTGGGTATAGACCGAGGAGAAGATAGTTGGGTCAAATGGTGGTTCCATTCCCAGTTTTCCAAGGAATCTCCATACTGCTTTCCATATTGGCTGCACCAATTTGCAGTCCCACCAGGAATATATGAGTGTGCCTTTTTCCCCACATTCTTGCCAACACTTATTGTTGTTTATATCATAATAGCTGCCATTCTGACTGGAGTGAGATGATATCTTAAAGTAGTTTTGATTTGCATTTCTGTAATTGCTAGAGATAATGAACATTTTTTMATATATTTGTTGATTGATTGTTATCCTCTTTTGAGAAATGTCTGTTTAGCTCATTGGCCCATTTATTGATAGGGTTATTTGGGTTTTTTTTTTTTTTTTTGGTGCTTAGCTTTTTGAGTTCTTTATATATCCTAGAGATTAGTGCTCTATCTGATGTCCCCTGGTGTTCTCTCAGTGCTCAACTCTTTGGCACTTTTCCTTCACAGTATTTGAGGACTTGCCTCAGTGAATTTGCTTTTACTGTGGAATTGTATTCCTCTCTTTCACACATTATTTCACTTCTCTGCTCAAACTCTGACCTGCCACCATTGTCTTTCTTGATCATGCTATCTAAAATACCCTCCCATTGCCTATTCTTTAGTGTGGTTATCATCACATGGCCCTCCTGTATTGCTTCTTTTCATATTTGTTCTTTTCCTCCAATAATTAAAATGTAAACCCCATTGAGTAGGGTCTTTGTTTGGTTTTCCAGTATAAAGCATCTAGAAATACACCTGGCATATCATAGTTGTATTATATGACATCTAGAATAATGCCTGCTCAATGTTTGTTGAAAGTAGTCTAAACCCTTGATAGATGGCCTCTAAATGTTTCAGTACTCATTAGATCTTCTTCTTATGGTGTGATATTGTGTGTTACCATCTGTAAGCACAGGTTGTGATTTGAGACTTGAGAACTCTGGTGGAAGTTGCCTCAATGGTGCTGAGAATGTAAGTTATGGTTGAGGCCTCCAAATATGCAGCATTCAAGTACATCAGATATGAGAGGCACACTTGCAATTAAGGGCCTCAAATATATACAAAGTTATTTTTGTGCTATCCAAGCCAGTTTCAAAGTTAAGTAAAATTAGTTGTTAGAGAACAGGTTATTCTAGTAATAGTGACCTGGTCTTTAAGTCTAAGGAATAGAAGAAAGACCACGCAGCTAAAAGTGCATTTGATATTTTAATATTTTGGCAACATTATTGTGTTCTATATCTCAGAAATAGTGATGAAAAGACCTCAATTAATCATCAGTACAGTTAATATGAACACAATCCAGGTCTGACATATCCAACATAAACCAAAAAGAATATTAACAATATAGAAAATATTCCACACAAACTTCTTGTAGTTCAATATTGTTGTCTTTTCAACAAGCACATCAAGAAATGTTGATAGTAGGAGATGATGTGATAGATGAGAAAACTATATAGAAATGATTTTTCTAGKCAAACCTATGAATAAAGAGAACATATTAGGTTATCTAAAATGTATATTCTGGAATATATAGATATAAAATTCTTAGACATATTTATGTACATAATATACATATACATCAAACACATAGGCAGATCTAATATAATTACTTATAGTTATCACTAATTAATGATTTCTAGTACCAAATGAGTTGTTACTAAGAATTTGTTTCACAAGTGACTAAATTATGGTTAAATAGCTAAATTCTATACAGTATTATGCAAAAAATTCTATTTAATAATTCTACTAAATGAAAATATAATTCTGAGAAAATGTTGAAGGAACATTTTAATTATTCTTAATTTCTAAGTAGTTTACTAGGCATAAAATATATCTAATTTCTAAAATAATTGATGATTTCTTGACTTATTTGGACTAATTATTTGTCAAATAATTATATTTAGCAAAATGTCCTTTCAGAAAAATTTACTAAAACTCTTCAAAAGTAAATCCTTCACAATCCATTTGATTGGAAACCTTTTTATTATAGTTTAGTTTCATAAATATTTTGCCAATTTCATTTACTTTTGCCTTAARGTATTCTGACATCCTTTGCTTTGTTTACTTCTGGTTTTCCTATTGGTTCAGGCCTTAATCAATTAACTTTTTCTTTCTACTACAATATTATGCTTGTAATTCAAATATTGCACCTAGTAAACTTCTTGGTAAATTTATTTCTCCTAAAACTGAGATTAAGGAAGGTTGGGTCATTATTTCAGTGTTTTATATTGTTGGGTCCATGATAAGCAATTGCAAAATAGTGAAAGACTAAATAGCATTAAAGTGAATATTGTGATTTATGAAACTTAAATCTCAGCTTTCATCCTTAGTGATTCTGATGATTTTTCTCAACTTAATATGGAAAATTTGCTGACCCCTTTCTATTATCAGGAGACCCAAATGAAAGATAGGATTAAATTATACACATATATGCACACATAGCATTCCCTGACAAAAATAAAAATTTGAGTTTAGGGGTRTAAGGTGAAAGGAAACTGTCAAGAATGAACCAGTTTGGCCATCCATGTTTAGGGAGATTTCTTCTCAGAACMTTTTTGTTGGCTGGACACAACTATCCACAAAAGAAATTGTCTGTAATTTGCTTTTAAACATTTATAAAAAGCTCACATGTGCAAATTACACAGATACCTTCCATCTGTGAATCAAAGTTCATAGAAAAAGTTAAAATATTTCACAAATAAAACTATGACTTAAAAGTTTAACTAAATTTTTTAAATGTGATTTTTCTTTAGTGTTGTCTTTTCAGCTGAAAATCCTGTTTGAATCRATGCTCAATATCCAGGCCTAAAGGGACTTACCTAAGTTCAAGAAGCAGCTGTTAGTTCAAGAATGTTAGAAGTTCCCCTGAAAGAAAAATAAATTATGAGATATTTTAACTCACTAAAGATATTTGTGTGTCACTAGAATTATCTAGGGTGTATATATATATATATATATATATACATGAACTCCATATTTAACAACATATTTAGGAAATTAAATTCCAATATAAGTACAATTCTCTGTCACCATTGCTATGATTATATATATCATTATATTTGAAGCATATATTTTGTATTTCATTACATGAACTCCATATTTAACAACATATTTAGGAAATTAAATTCCAATATAAGTACAATTCTCTGTCACCATTGCTATGATTATATATATCATTATATTTGAAGCATATATTTTGTATTTCATTACTGGCCTTGACATATTTATGTCAATTTGAATTGATTTTTATGTGAGAATGTGGGATTATTTTTATTTCATTTCATTACATCATGTTTTTGTTTTATAAAAGATAATAATTATAATTTTATTTTATGATTTAAAAAAGGCAAACATACCACAATGGGAATATATGGGTRGACAAGGTTCTTAATGTGAGCCCAAGAATTTATAGCTATCTGCTGTGGATGATAAACCTGGAAATATTTGGGGACGGCGAATGKGTGAAATTGGTTGATCTTGATCTGCAAAGAAATACAATTATTAACAGTAACTTCACATTAAATGTCCTCCAGGGTTCACAAGAAATCTAGAGAGAATCAAATTAATTATAACTTTAGGTACTTAGGCAATTTCCAAGTAGGTCCCAATGAAAGCAGTTTACTAATATAAAAGTCACTGTAAACCTTTCTATATTGTAGAGTGACTATAAAGTTCAAGAAATCMTCTAGTTAATTCAGGCACTCATATAAAAATTTCTAAGAGGAAAAAAAAGCAAATGTGTATGTAAGAAGGTGAGAAATTTTTTTTTTTTGAATAAGAAAGATAAGTGTCTCCTTTTATCATTTATTTTACCATATTGATCTTTAGGACCAGAGAAGTTCAGCATAATTTCTCATGATTTCCCTCTCTGGAATGACTCTGATGCAGTTGCTTCATCTTTCTAAGCATCATTTACATTGCAGAATTCTAGTAGTTAATATTCAGAGAGCATTCTGAGTAGTCCCTGTCACATATTATATGTACAAGGTGTTTCCCCCATGTTTAAGTTTTTTAACAGTCTGTTTCATTTACTTTATCATAGATTAATGTAGGAGATAAATACAAAATTAAACTCCTAACTTCCTACAGTTGAATTTTCAGTTTTTGTAAGTGGAAAGATATTTTTGAACCCCCAGGGAATGACTGTTAAATGGCTTCATGGCAATGGATGGCAAGTAATGGATACAATGGTTCGACTGCTGCTGGAGACACTCTGACAAAACATAAAGGTCTACACAGGAATCAGAACTTTCCCAAGCGAGGTAGCTCTTTATGTGGGAGGACTGTGGTTTCAGTGAAGAAAATACTGCTTCTAGTATAAAAGTTTTAGAGGAAATTTCTAGAGTGTATAGCTGAATGATGATAACAATGCCTATGCTAATAATAYATTCATTGTATTCCCAGCATTCTGTTGTAGACTCTGCATATTATCTGAAATGATCATTACAAAAAGTTTTTAGAATTAATAGTGTTCATTTTTCAGTTGAAGATACTGTAGCTAACAGGAATTAAGTACTTAAAAATGTTACAGAACATATATGAATATACCACAGGGAATTTCACCATTATGTATATCCATAAGGCACTAATCTAAAAAAAAAAAACACCTTATAAGTAAATAGCAGAAAGATCAATAGTGTAGAAGGCAGGGAACAGGGGAAGTACTGGGAATGAAATTAGAGAATATTATATTCCATGCTTTTATAATTATGTTGAAATGAATCCTAATGTATTGTATAACTAAAAGAATAAATTAAAACCAGTTATATTAAAAAAAATTTAAAAAGGTGATGTATACAGAGCACCTGGCATGACCTGGCACAAGGTAAGTGTTCAATAAGCACTACTTATATTTTAAAAGTTAAATATATAACAAATAATTATTTCCACAAATACCAAGGCTCTGAGATGGGTTCAGTTTGTATTTCATGGGGAAATAAATGGACATTTAAAAATACTCAATAAACAACATCACAGATAGAAAAGGCAGTAGAGCTGGAGTTGGAATATAAATTGCCTGACTATAAACCTATGTCTTTTTACTGAGACATGTATGTCTTTGGACCACAAGAGCTGGTTACAGAATTGCCTGTGGTTTGACACTCTGACAAACACCTTAAAACAATTTGAGAAATTAAGTCATATCATAGTATTCAAGAGAAGTAAGAATGCAGTTGTGTTCTATGGGTAATCTCATCTAGTCCATTTGAAATGAAAACACATTTCTGAGATTTGCATGTGTTCCAGAATCAATCAATAATTGCTCAAAAGTATTTTTCTTAAAAAATAGATCCTTATTTATTTTTAAAGAAATTCATACCACAGCAACAATGATAATTTATTTTGAAATTATTCCCATATTTCATGGGAAGAAAATTCTGATTTTATATACATGTATATATATTCAATTACTTGAGTTATAAGTTTGTAAATATGTATTATCCGTAGTATTTCTGTTATTTTTATTATATGTTTTGATGTGACTTTGTTAAAAATTGGCAGCTATTAATTTTCTAAAAATTATTGCAGTAGAAAACGTGTTATTTCTTGATGGATTGGTTGTTTCTTTAACTTAAAACAAAGTGCCATTTATCCAGCCTCACTAGATGAGCTACTAGAAGTGTCCTTGATAAATAAAAAGAACAATAAAAAGAATAAAAATATGAAGAGCAAGTTAATTGAATTTKGAAACTTTTTTCAAAAAACAATAGTGTGATAGGACTTTTGGCTTTACCAACAAGATCATCATTCTAATGGACAAAATGGGACAGCAAAAATGTATTTTTTCTTCAAAAAATTAAAAATTCCATATTTTTTGTTAAAATAGTGTAAAACGTAGACAAGATGTATATGAAGATGGAACTCTTTAACTGAGAGAATTAAGAACAATTAAGAAAAATGTAGTCAAGGGGCCTAATAAAAATTGTGCTTTTATGCAATGAAACTGATGTCTTTATTTATTAAAAGAAGTTCGTAAGCATGCTTCTTCTTCCCATTAAATTTTAAATCAAATATAGTTGTATATAAATAAACACCCTTACCAAATTAGCAGTCTTCTTTAAGGTTTCCTTAAACAAAGAATACATGAGTTAAAAACATTGTTGTGTGTTTCCACTTTATTGATAAGACAGATTTTATTCTTGGATGTAGCAAGAAAAAAAATTGAGAAAAATAATATCTAGTTTATTTTTATTGTTCAAATTAGGTCTGAGTTCTCCAAAGAAAAAAACACATATTCATGACTTTAATGGAATGTAACATGGAGTGTGATTTTGCCTTCTTATGCATTTTTGAATCCTCAAGATATAAAATCATGTAAGGGAAATAGTACTTGCTAAATGCATGCTTCTTAAATGAATAAATTGATAAGTTTAACTTAGTTAATATATTAAAGAAGAATTTAAATAATACTGCGTTTATCACAATTTCATTAAATAGGCATTTCTGTATTAAAGTATTCATATGTTTTGGGTAGGATTTATATAAAATTTCTGTTAGAGTAAATATCATAAAAATATTTGGTAAATATTTACACAATTAAGCAGCTAGAGTAACAATAAATTTTAAAATTCTAGGAATTAATAAGAATTAAAACTGCTAAATAATAAGATCTCCATTTCTCATAGCAGGAATACAGAATTTAGTTCATCAATTAAGTACTGCATATAATCAAGCTAAGTAAACAATGCTTATTATGTATGACAGTTTTAAAAAAAACCCTTAAAATTTATTTAATTATATTAGTTAGGACTTACCTCTTGGGAGTTTCTGGTAGGTTCCTTAGGGGAAAAAWATAATTACATATTTTTCAAATGTTGTTTCCTACCATGCTGTTTTTGGTGTTTTAGAAGAAAAATAAAACCCAACAAAATTAACCAAATTTTTAAGTAACATTCAGGGTGCCTTTAGACATGTATTCTGAAGCATTGGTAGGAAGATTTCTGGAAATTAGCACTAAATGTATAAGCTCAAGTCCTTACTTGGAAGCATAGAAGGGACCCTCTTGGTCAGTTTGTACAACCTGAAACAGACACCATGACTCCTGAAGTAATATGATTATTCAGTGACTTCCAGTAAAGGAGATGGTATTGAACATTTTTGCTAGTGTCTGGTAGTCACAAATATAATTCTGCTAATTTTGTTATAGTTTTAGGCTGCTCCCCTAAAATGACTTTTAACATTGCTACAGTTTAAAATTTCCATGTTCTCTAATTCTATTACTCTAATCTTAAGCATAAAATAATTTAAAKACAGTCTTATACAGAATTTAATATCTGGTACTGGATACAAAGGTTTTATTTTCATGTGAAAGTACCTTACCTCTGTGGAGGAGTGTGCCTCTTTTTTCTATATGTAAAAAAAAAAAGTTTCAATTTTAGGGCTTAATCAAATAGCCACCTGGAATATGCATTCTTTTCCATGGACAATTTATCTGAATCTGAGCTTTCTTTGCAAAATCCCATACTTTCCAATGATAGCAATAACACGTGATTCTGTATGTGACAAAAATTATGGGAATAACAATATATCTCTTATATTTAAGAGCTGCATTAGATGTTAGGTTATAGATTTTTAAGTTGTTGCATTTAAAAATATAAAATACTGTATATGGAAACCAGCTAAAGAGTATTACAATGTTTTAAGATATTATATATTTTCTGGTAAGGAAATATGCATTGTTTTATAATACATGCTGAAAACAATAATATCCTGCACATATCTTCTAATATCTAGTAAAGAGAAGCTTTGAACAAGCATTTTTGATATAATTAATTGACTTAAAATCCAAATATAGCAAAATAATAATATATTAGTTACTTTCAAGTAACTGGAATTTACAGTTAGTTAAATAAAAGTATTTTATTAAAAGATGTGATAGAGGTCATGTACAGAACAAAAAGTTAAGGAAGAGGTTGGTTAAGACTAGTACAATCAAAGAAGAAACTAATGTTCTATACGTCCAATTGATCACTGAACTATCTTCTCTTTTTTATAATATATTTTCTTTATTTGTAGGTGGACACAATACCTTTATTTTATTTATTTTTATATGGTGCTGAGGATCAAACTCAGGGCCTCACACATGCTAGGCGATCACTTTACTGCTGAGCCACAACCCTAGCGCTCTTCTCTCTCTCTCTCTCTCTCTCTCTCTCTTTTTTTTTTTTTTAAGAGATAAATGAAGTAGCAAAACTCTGAGATTTTACTTTTTGGGTCTGGGTTGGAATTGGCATGCAGTAATTTTTATTTTATTTACACTAAAATTACTTAGGCATTTTCATTTATATATAATTTATTAAATTCTCATGATGTTGACATAAGTTCATATAGTTTCTTTATCAAAAAATCACTTACCTATATCATGTATTGAAGTTGTAATTACTCCACTTACAAGAATATAATGTTCATAAATATTACAGAATTGTTTTGCAAACAGTGGTCTAATTATGTTAGTCCAGACTTTTGCTTACTAATTTCATTACTTTCATGCATTCTTAATTATTAAATATTTCAGATGATTATTAGCAAAATGGTGAAATTCTATGCTGATTTAAAGGCTAACTTTGAAATTTACCATTTTAGCTGTGGACCTTGCTCATGCTGCTTCAGGATTTGCCTGGCAGGGAAATGAATCCCCAGGAATAAAAACTAAAATGTATGCATTTCACCACCAGTGAATATAATTCATAAAACATGAAGGATAGTTAACTGACTTGTTTACCCTGTTCATGACAGGGTCACCACTTCCTTTATTGATTAAGAGCTGAGATCCACTAGTTAATCTATAGTCATTGATTCTCAACTCTGCCATCTTCTGGACATAATAGAATTGATTTTGTTCTAGAAGGAAAGAAATATATCAATACTTATGAGTACCGAATATGATCAGAGCATATCTGGACAAAATCAAATGAATTAAATTTTTTATTTAGATAATAGTTAAATTATACCAAATTGACCAAATAAAAGACATTTTAAATATAAAATTCACTATAAATATGAATAAAGTGAACTTCAGAATTGAAGCAAATCATCTGGATAATTTAGGATTCTAGTGAAGTAAGGTTTTTGATAAATGTAAAAACAAAATAATGTATAAGAAAAGAAGTGGAGAATTTGTTGAAATTCATCTCACTTTGTCAATTTTTTTTCCCATGTCTGGTTGAAGAAGGCTGGTGCTTAGACTGAGGGACAATTCAATTTATATTCTCCTTYCCCTGGGCTAGTTGTTGACCTCTCATGAGCTTGTATGAAAGACATGCCAAATGATTTATATAGCACCTGTCATGTGTGTCCAGCTGAATAAATATTATAGTGTGCTCCTACTTTGATTTGGCAATGGCTTCTTGACCATAAGTTACCGTAGTAATAATTATGGAATCACCTAAAATGGCAATTTCATTTTTGGCTTCTGCTTCATACACATGGATAAGTAAGGAGGTGTGTAGAATATCAACATGTTTTTAAAATTGGGCATAAATGTTGGCTAGACAGTAGTACAAGAAGAGAATTTGATTAGAATTTAGGGAAAAAAACTATTGAGAAATTAATTTTCTGTACAACAGCTTTACTTTAGAGTTTTTGTTTTGAACTACTCTATATGAAGCTATCTCTGTTTTAAAAGATTTAGAATACATTTTCTGCATATATGTCAATTTAATAATAATTGGTATCTTTTCATGAATTTTTGAGGTTTCTGTTATATAATTTATGTATGTCTTCTGACATCACCCTATAAAGCTTTCAGAAATATTATTACTAGCTTCATTTTCATTTAAGGAAAACATAGTTTTAAAGAGATTAAGTAAGACCTTGGGGACCTGAAGTCAGAAATGAAATCACCTGACTTTGAAGTCTCATTCCTTCTTTTACTGCACATTTCTCTTCTCCATAGCAGCCAGGTAACATGACCTCATATGCCTTAGAATGAGAGCACTCAGTAGCATTTGGCCTTAACTAATCAATTCTTATTGCTACTTTAAAAAGAAGCTGAGTCCTGTTATTTTGTGAAAACTTTGAATAAAAAGTGAATAAAAATATCTCATGAATTTTTTATTGAGAAAAAGAAGCTGAGTGACTAATTATGTGATTACTTGATAAAATAGTGGAGGCTCAAGTAAATTACTTAAATAGTTTTCTGAGATTTGTAACTCTTCTAAGTTTACTTAGGATTTTTTTTCCAAAAAATGYTGTTTTCATTATTATTTATTAAGACTACATTTTCATGTCATAGTCATAATAGTAAAAAGTAATTTTATCATAAAATTGGTGCTAAATATTTTTATTTAGAAGAAATGATGTGATCATCTTGAAGAGAAAGAATTRTAAAATATATTGTTTTATTTGAAGTAATAAATTGCATAAAAAACTTACCAGCTGTTTTAGGTAGACATTTTCTTCCTCAGACTGCTCCTTTTTCTGTTAAAAAACAAAGCACATGTAAGAGAAATAAAAAGCAAATATATTACTAGTGATATTAATTCAATTGAATTGCGATTACTTACTTTTCTATTTTTGATGAAAACAGACTTTGACTTTTATAATATTCCTTAGTCATCTAATGCTCAAACTAACAGTATAAGAATATTTCCTTTAATGATGGTGGTTCCTTAATTTCTAAGGGATACCTAGGAAAGCCATTCATATCCAATAAATAGGAAGCACAGAAAGGGGAAGAGCATGTGCCCAAGGTCACTTAGGCTTTTAGTGAATGTGGAACCCAATCTTTAGTATTCTGAACCCAAATCTCAAGTTGTTATTTAGACCTCATGTTCTATTTCCTCCTCTAGAACTTGTTCCTCATGTTTGAAAGAGTTCCTTAAGCCCCAAAGGCTTTATAAGATTAAAGGGAGATATTAACTAAAACTTTGGCAACTGATCTCAGTTTTTAAAAATTTCAGTTCCTTTTTAAAAATGGAGATGATATTCTTTACTGCTATCCACTTCAGAGACTTGTTGTCAGAATCAAGTTAAAGACATGTAAGTGAATATTTAGGACAGTTGAAAACATTGTAATTACTGTTAGTTCTTTCTAATAGGTTTACTTTAAAGTTTGTTTTAGAAAATGTTATTGAAATTTGCTTTACTATCTACATTGATACTGACTGGATATTTTTCTTCTAGTTAACTTATTAAAAAAATAATAAATAAAAACAAGCAAAAATGCACATCTCACCGGAATGGAAACAGCACGATTGACATTTTTCTTAAAGCTATTCCATGGGTTCAAAACTCTCTGCTGATGATGATAAACCTGATGGTATTGGGGGAAGTAAGCTTGCTGGTAAAATTGTTTGATTTTGTTCTAGAAGGAAAGAAATGTACTTATGAGTACTGAATATGATCAGAACATATCTGGACAAAATCAAGTGAATTAAATTTTTATTTAGATAATAGTTAAATTATACCAAATTGAACCAAATAAAAGACATTTTAAATATAAAATTCACTATAAATATGAATAAAGTGAACTTCAGAATTGAAGCAAATCATCTGGATAATTTAGGATTC